CTTTGTGCAGGTTGCTGAACTGTTGTCCCTGGAAGATGTGGATCTTACTCCGGATCAAATCAAAGATATTATCGTTTTACTTGAGAAAGAGAACAAGCTGCGAAAAGCAGAGGACGAGGAGCAGTCACAAAAAATCACAGAGAGAGCTGATTAACAAAGTTCGCTCCTTTACTAACTCGATACTCTTGCAATTTTTAGCTCTTCTAGTTGTTTTGATTTCTGGCATTTTTGAAAGCATAAACGTGGAGGGTCATACTCATTTGTACATTCAAGTATTCATTTCAAAGTTGTTCGCTTATTTGTATTAGTAATCTGACCTTGGTCATACGATGTAGAATCAGTAGCATGTTTGCCATTGTATTCAAGGTTCAAAGTATGAAATTGTAAAGGTAAACGCTCGACGAAATACAGGTATGTACCAAAACCGACATTGCAACCAGATGCTGAATGTATTGAAATTTTTTAATATGGAAAAAAAGGATCCAGTTCGGACACGGAGAAGCATTTTAATAGACCTAACTCGTATTATCGGAGTAATGACAGTCTGAAAGTGTTTATACCTAAGATATTTGTTTGATTCCCGGTATAAAATAAACCCCAAGTCATAGACTGTCTATTGTTTTCAACCATGAAGTCGTATTTTCTCGGCTGAAACAGCACACAGTCAAATGTAATTTTCTTAAGATTAGCAAAGAAAGGGTGGTTACGTAGTTGCTGGTGAGGATTTCCAGAACAGATTGGTGTTCTTTGTGTCTTGTGTTTCAATCTGAAGAGAGATCTTTACACTTGTGAGTCGCTTTTATAACCCTCTGACTCCCGGAAGTGGTTCACATGGAACTTCTTCCTTCAAATATCCATACGTAATCAATCGAAAAGGTAATAGGAATACTCAGACTTATCAGGTAGAAGTTGTTTCTCTTGATCTAACACCAAATTCTTGTAACTTATTTACAGAGAAATGTAAAAGAAACTAGAGGGGAGAATTAACAATCAGATCATGGGAGTTAAAGGGTCAAGGTTAACTCTGATTTTGGAGAAATTTGTAATTTAAGATTATTTTGAGGTTTTACCAAATGACTGTATATCATCATGTATCCACTCTATCTCCGATTGAGAAAGTCGAGTGGCAAAAACATTTTAGCGTAATTAATGAAATAGCTATGAAAGAATACAATAAAAATGAGGAATTAAGGCCTGAAAATGCTGAGAATGCTTTTGTTGTTTTAATGTGATAAGAAACATGATGGAAAACTTAGTGCCCATGTGACGGTTTCCCGTTGTCAAACAATGAATTTGTTTAAGCCTTTACTGATAGAGGTTTTCAACACATTTTCCATAAGCGGCTGCCGATGGTGGAATGGGAGACACGAGAGCTTGCGAGTAGGCTGAATAGGCAGCGGTAATAGGTCTTATAGGCGGCTGTAGACCACTGGTAAGCGGTTTTTATTAAAACCCATGCTCGCCAGCCTCCTGTCTGAGATGATGATAACCATTGTGACATTTGCTCTTGGACACTCTGCACCTATATTTCCTTGTTCAATAAGTGAGCACAAGTGAACTGTCACCGGGAACTCACGAAGCATTAAAAAATAACCAACAATGGACTAATACCACATCCGAGGGGAATAGCAGTCTTCTTTACTGGTCCCGTCATGATAAATTATGCTGGATATGGGGGGCAAGTTTCTAAAGAAACTGTGATGCTGCGTCGGCGGGAGAGTTAAACAAGGTAATTTAGTATTATCAAATGAGTCGATGACGTTAATTGGCCACCGTAAAGAGTTTCAAAGCTGACGTTTCGCGCGTCAGCCCTTACTTTTCATTCGTTTTGACGAAGGGCTTACGCTCAAAACGTCAGCTTTGAAACTCTTTACGCTGGCTAATTTATGTTATCAACTCATAATACTAAATGATCTTGGATATAGTTCAGCAACTGCAGGCGGCGTCTGTCAGGTTTTTACGGGAATACGATGGTGGTAACTGCAGGCCATGCGACACTGAAAAATCGACTGGCACCTGACTCTTCTCGATGAAGCCAAAGTTCCAACCTCATTTCGACATGCGAGATTAACTAAGAGGCCTCTTGCAACGACATTTTATTGGTCAGACAATGAACAAACACGTTACAAAATTGCCGACATGGCCATTTTAGGTAAATTGGATGTGCTTGTTGCAGTTTATTTAACTGTGAGGAACCGAGATGAAACGTCTTTGTTTACTGCTGTACCCATCTCAAAAGAAATACTCCTTGGCAACTGAGCGCCTGCACACGGGTTACTGCTTAGCTTGCGATTGGTTGTGTTATTCGTTGTAAGTGTGGTGCTATATTCAGCAACACTAGGGTTTTTCCCATTTGTAAAGAAGAGTATAACAACTTTGGGAACCAAAAGTCCACACAGTGTTATGGATCCGATCGCAATGAGGGTACCAGATGTTAAATAAACTCTTACGTAAGGACTGGACGTATTAAGGTAACTTGGAAAGAAGACTATCCACACAGAACACGTTAAATACATGCTGATGCCAATGTACTTGGCTTCGTTGAAATTTCTGGGGAAATTTCTCGTTTTAAACGCAAATATAGTGCAGAGGAACATGAGAAGAGAGTTGTAGCAAATATTGACTACCAAGGTATATTCGTTCAGTGCACAATGCAAGATGACGGTCCCCTCAGAGGGATACACCTCTTCGGCCTCGGGGACTTCTGAGAAGTGCCACAGAGTGGTTAGCAACAGCTGTACTGCTATCAGCCCCATGGAGATGAGGACCTGGGAACCTGGGCGGGTGAGTGAAGGCCGGGTTACTGAGCTTTTGGCGCTTTTGAAGATGCGGTAAATACGAATTGTTTTCATAAGCACGGGAGCATAGCACGTTGTGAAACATATACTTCCCAGAAAACGTCGCGCGCTGCATATCGTGTCTGTCGGTTTGCCCAGGAAAGTGAGTGGTGTTATGTAACAGAGTATGATTCCCATGAACACGATGGCACTTAATTCCCTCCCAGCAGCTTTGATATAAGGGTGACTTCTGTGTTTGATGTACTGAACCGCTGTCCCAATTTCACAAAGCACTCCTATGACAACGAAGATGACAACGGATATCGCGGGCGCACTTGACCACTCTGGGTACAAAACAGGTATTTTTGTGCAAACGGACAAGCTGTTGATGGATGAGTAGCCAAGTGGGCATGATTTACAGGTTTCATTTTTGATAATTTCATTGGGTTTACAATCAATACAGTCCCAGCAGCACTTGGGAGCTCGACTTCTCGGTTTGCGAATTTGGGAATCATTGCAAGGCTTGCTACAAAAGGAACTCGGAGGATGAGATTTGTCTCTTCCCCAGTCTATAAGCGATTCGTTTAATTTCAGTATTCCTTGGACTTGTTTCCTCGCTATAAGCCTTCCTTGCCAATTACCAACATTAGAGTACTTCCACTTACCATCAGTCCCTCTATGAAAGTTTTTAATGTCATAAACTCCGTCTATTTCTTGATTCTGATTGAAACGAACGGTAAAGTTTAATGCCGAGTCTGAGAAACTCACATTTCTTAAGAAATCAAGAAATTTCTCCCTTCGAAAGTTTCTGGTCATGTTTTGACACAGCCCTACCACCCCTGGACAGTAGACCTGTTGCAGATTATGCAAAGCATGCGCCATGGCGTAAACCGCATTGATAACCACTCGAACGGGCGCCATTTCCATGTCAGCAGGAAGCCTTTCTACGTTTCCACAACTTCTAGACATCTGTGGATTGTTTTCTCTCTTACCTGGAATGTTGCACTTCATAACTGCTTCCCAAAACTCTTCAAACCAGGGATTAAACTTGTTGTCACCCGGTGCTAAATTCTTGAAGTGTCTGTCGAATCGATGGACTTTTCCCTCGAGGTGATTGACAGTTAAAGAGCCATCAGCCTCCTCTTCTCTTCCTTCTGTTACGTCAACACGATTGCTCCAACCATTGCTCCCTACCCAGGTAAACTGTTTCGCCCCAGCCTCTTTAGCAGCGCGAAGCAAGTCAGCCGAGTCGGCCTGAGTGGTAAATAACACAACACTATTGACTGTATTGGAGTTTTCCTTCCTTTTCCTGAGGAAGTTGTTTATCACCTTTTTAAAGGCATCATGGTCGGGTAGAATTGGGAGTTGCGTGGAATGCGCAACACAAATCCCTGCTGCTTCGGCAGCTTTTTCTAATTCAGCCATCCCTTTCTGCCCGTAATTTCCATAAGAGTTGACGGTGAATATGTAATCCCAGTTTTGTCTCTTTAGAACATCCACCAAGGCGTAAGCTTGAAAGGAGTCAGGCGGTACGGTGCGAAAAAAGTAACTGTAAATCTCTTTGTTGCTTAAATCCGCGCTGGTTGATCCATAACTGACCTGGGGGATGTTAAAGACACGCAGTAAATTTGCCACTGCAATGGAAACATCACTGACAAAAGGACCGATGACACCTGCCAAGGGTGGACCATGGTCAACGAGGGTATATTTTATGATGTCTTTAGCGCGATCGGCACCAATCGTCTGACTTCGGCAAGTGTCGTAGATCTTCGCCCCAAGGCTAATGTTCGGGAGAAGGTTTGGATCGTTATTGATTTCCTCAATGGCAAACAGCATGGCAGTTAAGTATTGAAATCCTGGTTGAGGGTCGATGTCACCACACGCATTTTCCGTTTGTTTACTTCTACGATGAATTGGGAAAAGTCCTCCAAGTATTATGTCACCTTTCAGCTCAATAGTCTTAGTCTCTGAAGGTGAAAAATAATTAGATTTGATTAAAACTGCGCTATGGTCAGCTTGGCTGTCATTTGGTTCATTGTGGCTCATGGGGAGAGCATCGGAGCGCGAAATCCGAAGGTTTGAGGTTCGATTTTCAATAGGGACTCAGAATTTTTCCTTGTCCTATGCTCATGACAAAGCAAAAACACATCAGCCGAATTCACACATCATTTTTCTTAATATATTGCCACAATTTTGCACGAATTCTAAGTCATTCGTAACGCATAAGTTCTGATTGGTTGATAAAAAAATTAACGTTAGTTATACGCGATGACATCACCCATCACCTTCTCTAAAAGTTCTCTCTATTTCTCCATGATACAATTTTCAAACGGCTAGTCCCTAGAACTAGTCCCTAACAGAACTCCTTTCTCCATAACTGCTCTGATGAAGAACCAATAGAAGTCGCGCGGAATGTCAACGTGAAAAACCTTTGCGACATAAGATCGGTCATTTCTAGGTCCCCCTAAGATTTCCGAAAACAAGGGTGATCTTAAAATAAACTCCATGGGGCTACCTCGGGAAAATTGGTTCAGTCTCTTACTTGATCTTCTCCAAGCTATTACTAACATATTTTCGCCAACAGATACTCGTCTGTTACAACCAAGCGTTTATATTAAGCACTGAGTACGAGTTTTATCTGGACAATTGGAATACGTATTCTGGCTATTTTAAGGAAAACGGTGGACGGGAACACAAAGAGCTTCTAGCAACTGAGTTAAGGATCCATAAATGCCTTTATTTATAGACTCTGAGCTTGATCTCCTCAGCATTAAACTATTTCTTACAAATTGATTATTAGAGCCAATATGCGTCCCTGTATTGTCTTGAAGTTAGTCTACAATCAAACAACTTACACTAAGACGGACCATTGATTTACCTTGTTCGACTGAAATTACTGACCAGTAGCGCTGTATCGCAAGTCCTGAAAAATAGAGGAAGAGCCTGGTAACCAGTTGCATGGTTCAAAACCTGAAAATAAAAAAAAAGGCTTTCAAAAGGATTATAACTTGGATATCTCCAACGATGCACGCTGAAAAAGGCTTACTACTTGACCTACCTCCAAAAAGACTCACTTTTTGATTAGTAGAGGATAAAATTAAATAATGGTGCTTGAACCAAGTGGAGTCCAATTCGGTCTGTAATCATACGAGTGATTGACAAAATCGGACTGTCGCGAGGCAATCGGGCTAGTGATAGCCAATAACGTTCGTGAATTTTTATATAATTTTGCTTACATGCGAATTAGTGATCTTCCTTCGATACAAACTGAGATTTTTATTTGATGATCGGGGCTGTTCTGAATCTCCTTAAAATTTTCTGAGTTTTAAGAACAGTGGTGTATATTTGCTTTACCCCTAACGAGATGTCAATGCAAAGTCAGATACATCATAAAAATATTTGAAAAATCTTATACCTCTCCGATTTTAGAATGCGTCTGAAATCAACCTGATGTTAAAAAGGGAAAAAAAATTTCCCTCAAAAGTAACTAAAACAAAGTTAAGCAAAAAGAAAATAAACACGCGCAAACGTGTTGTGTTAATGAACGTTTCCTTGTACGTGCCTTTTTCAGTTTCAAGAGTCTTTCTCAGGATGTAAGATATTTCGATAAAACAACAGCTTCATAATTATGTTTATACATAAAGATTTGCAATATACCATCTAAACATGTCTCCAATTTCCTATCAATCATTGTTTAATCAGCCTGAGAAACTCTACTGTTACTCAGTTTAAACAGCTGAATATTGTGCGTATGTATTTCATAATTATTTTTCATGACTCTCGCCTAATTATACTTTCTTGTCAATAATCTTTGAAGTCTATTCACTTTCAAAAATCATCAGATTAGTCTTGGAAGACCAGGGACCGTACTTTTGGTTACGAGGTAAAAAATGTTTTAGAGGAAAAAAAATATTCTAAGTGTCACAATAATTTTTTCTAGTGATACTTTTATCTGACCCAATAAATTTTGTTTTCGAGGGAATAAAATACGACCGTTTTAAGGCTTTTTTTCGGTGTTTATAAGCGCTAAATGACTTCTGACATCTACAAACAAAGTTATTCATTCGTTGTCATCAATTAAAAGCTCTGATTTTCGTTTGGTGCATGAATAAAGTGAGGCAGAGTTCCATGAAATTGCACTAAGGTTAGCGCATTTGGAAGTTTTGTACATGTAATCAGATTTGAAATTTATTATAGACCTTAGAATGAGCTCTAACAGCTATTTTGTTAGGCTTAGAGTTAATTGTTGCTCGTTCAGTTTGAAAAAAATATATTGAAAGTTTTAATCTCCGGTTAAACCATATTCCATTACTAAACAGCATTTAAATTTTTTTTTCTCGTAACAGTGCTAATCAGCGAGTCTTTGGACTTGTAAAAAGATAACTGGTTGCACTTTGTCGACCCGCCCGATATCAAGGTGATATCACTGATGTTTCAGTAGACAAGCAGTGAAAACACTGCATACGCAGCTCATATCTACCTCGTTCCCGTCGAGTGAAATTAAAACAGGTCCTTTAGGTATGACTGAAACTTACAAGAACCATCAAAAACTCGAAATACGAGAGATAGTGCTGAAATTTGAGCTAGGTCTCTGAATAATAAACGACGTTTCAGCTATTTTTGAATGAAGGCAGGATATCACAGACAACACCATGTCATTCTCTGGCGGACTTCGCTAATTATTCATGTAGTGCACTTTGTTAAAAGTTATCTTCACATTCTAAAACACCCCCGAGAAATTATTCATTAAACCAAAATAAGCTTATAAGAGATTTTTTCTAGAACGAGATATCGAGCGATATTTTCCACACCAAGAAATAGATACTTATTAGACCTATCAACCTACCTTAGTTGTGTAATAATCTGAAAATTCCTTTGGTTACTCGAGGTTGTTTATTAGATTTTGGCCTTCAGTTTGCAATAGCGTTTCAGTTTCCCAACAACTTTAGTTCATAAATTTGTATACTTTCTTCCAGAAAAAGACACTGAACTCGACTGATTTCACACACACCGCCTTTATTTGAATTTGAAACTTGACATCGGCTCGTTTTAATTGATATTTCGCGACGTTTGATCAGTGCAGCTGGCTATTTGATCCGTAGAATTTTGATTTCAACTTTAATTATCCCGATCGGAAAAATAGTATTTTATAATTAATTGCTTACCTTAAAACTGAAATTGTCAGTACATGCCACCATTTTCGATGAATGTCAGGGGAAAATAATTTCTAAACAAAGAACTACTGGCGAATTACATACGGCGACGCCGAGCGAAATGGTTGAAGATAATAAAGTGGTAAGTTAAGATTAGAGAACATGTAACCTCAGTGTTTTATTAGTTAGATTGAAAACATATCGTCTTAAAAGTCTAAATGTTTTTCTACACCGTGATAACGCAGCTCTTCGCACGCGGAATGAAACAAAATCACTCTTTACGAAATTACTCTTAGCTAAAGATCATCAGAATTACTGAAAACTCTTGTCGATTTTTCGTATCAGTATCAAGTAATGTAGAACAATCTAGCTGAGTGTTTCTTCAGAATGCCTAATGGATGCTAGCGAGCCGAGTGAAATTGCCAAAAATGAGGAATTTGCTGAATCGTATCACATGAGTTGTGGAAATATTATGAAATAATTGACATAGTACGAGCCTGATTGGTCAAAAAACCTATCATTTATTGCACAGGTCAACCCATAGTTATTTCATCGGAAAGTTTGTAAATAACTCGCCTCCGGCTCGGGATTAACATACTTTTTTCGTGTTCTCCTAACACCCTGCGCGGATTATTACGCCAGTAAACCGATAGAAAGTGTAGCCTATTGCTTAAATTATTGACTAACGGACTAAGCTAATCTGGAACAGCTCAGGGTTAGGAAGGTCTTTTCTTGCAGTGTGATTAATCCGTGAATGAGAGTAGGTGAATTATCTCCATCTCCACGCTCTGCTGGAAAACTGAGTGTGATTACGTGGAGTGAGAGAATCTTCTAAGAGGTTACTGATAAAGCACTCATGAAATTAGCGCGAAAAATGCCCTCCAAGCTGAGAAGGCTTCCATGTTGTTACATAATTTGCTCAACCTTTGGAAAGTGAAAATATAAAACTGGACTAGACTATGAAAAGACAGGAGAATGTTATGAGAGACTACGTACAGAATGTATGTTGCGATAGACGCAATGAAATAAAAAATGGCTGGACTTTTAAATTAAACAAAAAAAACCAACACAACAATCCGCGGCCCATATAAGACGCGAATTCGAACTCACCGTATAAACGATACATTACTGATTTTACAAGCTTTGCGTGGCATATGTAATAAGCTACGGCTTATGCGTAAGAAGAGAATTTTAAGCACTATGCCTTATGGTGTTTTATACTTTTGTTCTTTAGAAACAAAACAAGAATAGAAAAGTTGGTTAGAATGATTTAGGCTAACAGTCACTGTGTTTCAGCCGCAAAATCGAGAAAAATTCAAGAGTATGGTATCAATAATTAGGTAAAATTGAGGATATTGCATTGTCTGTTGCTATTGAAATTAGTTCCCCTGTTTCTCGGATTTGGCGGAAAAGCTTTCTACTGGCGTAGTTCTCGCCATTTTCAAAAATGTGTCCGGTATCAAAACCAAACTAACTCACCCAAAGGTAATGAATATAATCTGCGGAGCAATTGAACTTAAGTAAATGCATCATTAAAAATTGCCATCTCTTTTAAACCGTTGACTTTTGAAATATTCCGCCTCTTGTTAAAATTAATATTTAAAACTCTTTCAGCTTCACATCTCGAATCAAAACAATACAGCCAAAAATCCAGTATGCCCTTACCTTTTCAATTTGAGAGCCGGCTTGTTTCGTTTCGTTCCCTTGAGCAATATTTTCAAAAGATTCAGAGGAGAGAAATTGCTAATGCACTTATAAATCTGCTTTGTCGCACCATCACGACATGTCAGATGATTTTTCCTCAACAATATTTCTGTTGTGCTCGTCGTAAAAGCTTTTAATTTATCTCATTTCAGGTGTGCACAGCAAGACGTCTTTGGAAACCGAAAAGGTAGAAAGCACTCCACGACATGTAAGCATGTGAAAATCAATTTTCAAGTTTCCATTTACGGACTAATGCATTGTGCAGTGAAACGCTTCGTAGTTACTACCAACGTGCAAACAATAAAAACACTCTTTCTTGGGCGAAGTATGTTAGGTCAATTTCTAACACTCTTTAACAGTTGACACTTCCTTTTCCTCTACTCGGGGTCTAGCTCGGTTCCCTAGGACAGTGTTAGTCACCAACTTATAAAGACGACGGTTATGAGGCCGTCAATCCTTGACGATCGTCATTAATTCTCACTAGTGAATCATGTTAAGTTACGTGAAACAGATCCCGCATACCAAGTATGTACCCTCGGGATGTTGACCCTTTTAAAACGACTTTCTACCAAAAATTTCATACTCTTGAGGTTAAGATGGGGCGAAACAGAAACGAGATTGGAAATACAAAAATTATAGACCATTGACGAAATTAGAATTACTCTAAAAAAGATGTCTAAAGAGCAAAATAACCTTTGTAGACTCTTACATAACAGAATAAACAGAGAATTCGTAACAATCGAAAGTCCAATCTTGGTATATATATATTTGTACTGAGTGGTTTGTACTCATATACTATTTAAATTAATTTTCCAACACTTGAATAAGTTAAAAATACATATACGGAAAATTCTTTCTTGATGATAATTCTGTCTTTTAACCAGTACTTCCAATTGGTTTAACAACCTAAAAGTAGGGTCCCTGATACTCGGCGAGAAAATTTCTTAAAATCTTTATTTTAAATTGGCTTTTTCAAGCACAGCAAGAACTTTTGATATTGCGATTAATTCTTTTGAATATATTTCTCTTTGACAGCTTGTTTTGGCAGAAATGTTTTGTAAAAGAGAAATTGAAAATGCGCGTTACTTTTATTTATTACATATTCGTTTATGTAGCAAAGAGCTTCCCTACAGGTTTGGGAAGAACTTTTGAGGTTAAATTAGTTTCTGCTCCTTGCACGCATGCGTCAACCTTTACGCCTAACATCAGTGTTCATATTCTCCATACTGTTCTCTGTAAATTTATTGAGGTACTGACAAGGAGAATTTATTGGTGATTATTTCCTTTATTCTCATGACATTGATGTGTCATTCAGTGGTGAGAAATTAGATGCTAGTCACTCCAATTAAGGGTTAACCCTTTTATTCCCATGGGTGACCAAGAAAGGAGACTAATACCATATCGAGCAGACAGGCGATGAGAAGAACAATATCAAGATATAACATCAAATAGAGAATTATTTGTTGATCCAATACCAAATTCTCCGAATGCGTATCATAAGAATTGTATGGCAGACAATAAGGAGAACTATTAGCAAGATCTTGGGAGTGAAAAGATTAGAGCATTGAAAAAGATGGAAGAATAATTCTGATACCCCAAATAAAATTAAATGTTCATGGCTCCTTCCTAATATTTTGGTTCAACCGTAAAATATTGCTAGTTTTCACCTGCCAAATAAAGTTAATCCAAAAAGGCAGAAAGCAGAAGCGTCAACATTAAAGGACAAGAGAGCAGTAAATTTCGAAATTGATTAAGCTTTAATCCCAAGATTCTACAAAGACTTTAGCGACTCTCATAACAATCGAGAGTCCAATCGTGGAGTAGCTACGAGTAGTAAATTCCAAAATTGATTGAACTTTGATCCCAAGATCTTGCCAAGACTCAGTAGCGACTCCCATTACAATCGAAAGTCCATTCTTGGTATGGCCACGTGTAGTAAATTCCAAAATTGATTGAACTTTAATCCCAAGATCTTGCCAAGACTCAGTAGCGACTCTCATAACAATCGAAAGTCCAATCTTGGTATGGCCACGAGTAGTAAATTCCAAAATTGATTGAACTTTAATCCCAAGATCTTACCAAGACTCACTGGTGACTCTCATAACAATCGAAAGTTTAATCGTTGAATGGCCACGATCGACTGTTGATAGAAAATTACTGCTGAGATCGTCTGTGTAGAGTCATCGAGTCTGACCTTTCACTTTTATTGCTCTATGTACCTGTGAGCATCTTTTGCCTTCTTTCTCATGCCCTGTCGTTTGTTAGAGCTTACGAAATAAATATTTGTTTATAATTCATTATATTTGATTTAAGTTTCAAGCGATAAATCGGCGAAAATTTATCCGAAGACAGACTAGGCACAAGAGTTTCCGTGTATTACGTCCCTCTTGAAAAAGAAGCTCGACTGCTGATCAGAAAATTGACTCCGGTCAAGAGATTGTTAAATTCTCTTTCTCATGTTTAATTTCACTGTTTTACACATTTTAAACCTTGGAAGAAGACAAGAATATATATTTTCAGTTTTACCTCAAACGATAGTTTGAGTACTTCATGTAAATTGACGATAAATTACTTTTAAGGTGATTCCTCAGAACAGTTATCGAAAAAATTTTTCAACTTCCCTCAAATGTTCCCTATCAATGTCTGTTTCGAAAAATACAGTAAAAAAGACAGGTCACCGTGCTTATTTAGGAGATATAATGGACCAAACTTACCCCATTTATGCCTGTACTGGCACTAATCATGCGTGTCATTTCATTGGTTCACGGTACAATTTGCGCTAACTGAAAGCAAGGGTCTTAAAAGAAACACTTGAAAGAAACTTCATAGATAGAAAAACCTCGAGCATATGGAACAATTTGTAAAAATCACGCAAATTTAAACGACATCGACTCAAAACGTTCCGCGATTCGTTGCTTTCAAGATACCGGCTTCGCGCATGTTTTCAGTTGTATCTTTTTTTTCCTTTCGATGATTTTTTTTCTAATTTCTCAGATTCGAAGGGGATAATTTGCACACCAAAATTATACAATAAAAAGAGCAATCGCATCTCTTCATCTGGTCCATTGATTGAAAAACAATATCGTGCTCTCGGAATGCGCACGCGCTCATCCGAAAGATCACGTGATTTTTATGCACAATACTGAGAAATCACCTAAAATAATCATGGCCTTCAAATCGGGCTTATTACTCTGCCATCAAGCATGAATTAAAGTTTTGCTCACAAATTTCTTCGCCAACACATTACATTGCACATTTTGAATAACTAATTTATAACTTTGCTGATCTTCGCTCGGTCGCCATTGATTGAGACAAAAGGTCTCATTGCCTTGCAGGCTTATAGCCGAGTTCTTTTTTCGTTTTCTAAGTTGTGTTGGTTAACTTGGAAGCTTGGGGACTTGGCTTATAAATGACTATAATTAAGGAATTCATAATTAGGACACCATGGTCATAGTATCCCTACGATGTTCGCTTCTGCTCTTATCATCCATTGTCCCTGTAAGTGTAGTATCCCCACACGGTTCAACTGTGGTGCCAAAATAAACAAGAAAAACTTTTGGCACCAGAAGTCCTAGCAGAGTTATTGTTCCAATGAGAAACAGTGAACTACACAAAAAGTAAGATTTCCAAATGCTGTCAGCCGCGTTTAGGTAACAAGGAAGGAACACTATCCACACAGAACATGATATGTACATCGTCACGCCGATATACTTAGCTTCGTTAAAATTTCTTGGAAAATTCCGGGTTCGAAATGCATACACGGTCGAGATAAACATTAAAATGACGTTGAAACACAAGTTTATTGCCAAACTGAAGTCGTCCGTGCTGCACTCTAGAATTACGCGGTCTTTATAGCCGTAATATTCCACAGCCAGGGGAGGTTTTGATAAAACCCATATCATTGTTATTAGACACTGAGAAGCGATAATACCAAGGGCTACAAATGTTTGTGACAGTGGGCTTACCATCGTCGGTCGCCGAACTGACTTCTGGGCAGCCTTGAATATGCGATAAATGCGGTTTGTTCGTAATAAGACAGGCGCGTAGCATGCTGTCATTGAAACACTGTCAGTAAAGCGTTTGGCGCCACAGATTGTGGTCTGCGGTTTCACAAAATGCAATAACGCGGCAATATAACACGAAAAGACTCCCATGAATAGAATTGCGCTAAGCTCTCTTCCAGAGGCTTTTACAATGCGGTGTTTCCTTTCCAAGATGAAAATCACAGCAGTGGCAATGCTGGCAATAATTCCAGCAGATATGAATCCGGTTAAAACTTGCGCAGGAGTGTCACTCCAAGTCGGGGAGACAACTGGCAGTTTGAAGCATTTTGTCCTGTTAGTGTCTGGTATCTTTCCTTCTCCACAAAGTGAGCATGTGTTATTTATAATGATATCATTCGAACTGCAGCCCTCGCATCGCCAACAGCACCGAGCGTTGGTAATTTCTGGAATTGTTATCTGCTTGGCCGGACACGTTTTGCTACAATAAGATAATGGAGTGATTTTTTTTCCTCCACCCCACACAATCTTGTCGTCATCTAATCTGATTTTTCCTTGGATTTTTCCATCCCCATTCAATGCGCCGCTCCAGTTTCCAACGATAAAGTGCCTATATCGTCCATCCACTTTTTTGAAATTCAGCACGTTATAATTTCCATCTACATCTCCGTTTTGGTTGAAAGTCACGTTAAAACCAAGTGACGCATCTGGAAAAGACACATTCTTTAAAAAGGTCAAGAATTGTTCCCGTTTCAGATTCTTCATGTTGTTGCATAGACCATGCTGTCCAGAGCACAGTGTCAAATGCATGTTGTTGAGTGCATGCGCCATAGCATACATAGCATTTATCACAACACGGACAGGCCCGATCTCCATGTCATTAGGAAGAGATTCATTTGCTGAACATTCCCGTTTGTAATTAGGTTTTGAGGCATTTTTGAGCTTACACTTCAATGTTTCTTGGTAGAATTCTTCAAACCATGGACCGTACTTGTTCAGGGACGGTTTCATGTTCAAAAACTTTTTCTTGAAGGAGTCAACTTCGCCTTCAATATAATTCATAGTGATGGCTCCCTCACCTGCTTCTTCTGCTCCGTCTGTTACTTGTTTTCGATCTCCCCACGCATTGCTTGCAAGCCAATAAAATCTGTCTCCATTTTTCAACACTTTTTGTGCTGCACGGACTAAGCCTTTATTATCTCGCTGAATACAAAACAGAACAACAGCATCTAGTTTTCCGCGGAAATTCTTCTTCCTAATTTCAAGGAGTTCTTGAATGGTTTTGTCAAAATCTTCCTCCGTCGGGAAAGAAGGAAGTTTTTTCTTGTTTGCAATACAAATCCCCGCACGTTCTGCCTCTTCATAGAATTTGACCATCCCTCTCTCTCCATACTCCCCCGGGGAATACACGGTCATGACGTAACTCCATCCAAAGTGACGAACAACATCCACCATTGCTTTGCCCTGATACGAATTTGACGGGACAGTGCGTAAAAAGTAACCGTAGAGATCTTTATTGCTTAGAACTGGGGTAGTTGAGCCGTAGCTGACCTGAGGGATGTTAAAGACACGTAGCAAATTTGCAACAGCTACAGACACGTCACTTCGGAATGGTCCGACGACACCTGCTAGCGGTGCAATGCTATTTTCTTCACTAAGAGTGTACTTGATTATTTCTTTTGCGCCTTGGGAACCAATCGTCTGACTTCGGCAAGTGTCGTATATTTTCGCCCCGAGCTTAATTCCTGGAAGAATGTCCTGACTGTCGTTTATTTCTTCAAGAGCATACAGCATGGAAGCGAGGTACTGGTATCCAGGAAGTAGGTCTATGTCCCCACAAGCGTTCTCTGTCGCACTACTACGGCGATGGACTGGAAAGAGACCTCCAAGTGTGATGTTTCCATCGATATGGAGAGAAATTCGATCACCCTTATCTAAAATTAGAAAAACAGAACATTAATTCAACGGTCGATGTGTGTTGCACCTTTATGCTAATTGCGGACACTGTAAATACACGAACATATGACGTAGATAAATAGACAGGTAGATAGATAGATAAATAGATAGACAGTTAATTGAAATATCATATTGCAAAAGGCTGAACTGCTTAATATTTTACAATAAATACTAAAGTACAGGTTATCTTTGAAGAGAATTTACTAAACTAAGTAAATAAAGCGTGTAGTAAATCAAAAAAAGGAAAAAAAGAAAACTGGCCTTATGCAAGGTGCAAAGAAGGAGCTGAAGTTGTAACTAGAGAAACAAAACCCTATTGAGAGTCTGAGCGAAGAATTTGAACCTCCACATTACAAGTCATGTACCTTACACCACGCGGACAGCTGTGTGGACTACCAGCAAAGAGAAGCTATCCCTAACTGCTTACCCAAAAGTAAAAAAAAGCCAGACGAAAACTTCAATTCGCAAACTACATCTTACATGTATATTTCACCATTTATGTTACCGCAAAGAAAACAAATGCAATTTTCGAGGACAACAGCTGTTAATGAAGCGGCGCCTTTTGATTTCCCCATGAACCCAACCTACATGCTTCGCAGGGGCCCAAAACAAAGAATATATGTTATCATGATTAAAATTTTGCCATAAAACGCGGGAAAAAAGACACGAAAAGCTGCCTTTTCCCGCTGTCTTTTGACAGCTACCATCTTCGACTTAGGTAGCTGTCAAAAGAGCTCTGACATTTCCTGTGAGTTGAGCGGACGCGCCAAGACAAGCACTCAGCTACTTTAACTCATATGCGATGTGCGTTGTTGATTTTGACCAGAATTCCGCCTCTAGTTTCGGAAGTGAAGGATTTTTCTTTTTTCTTAATCTCTCAAAAACAACTACAAAATTTTTTTGTATCCAAAACTCTGTACTAATAAATGCACCCGTGTTATCCAATTATCTTTACTGATATTTCAATACTTTCCTTAGTACGTGTATTATGAAGATGGCTTATTTTGCAGCACTTTAATTTTGCATTTGTTATTGTTATTTCTCTTAGTATCGCAAACACTTGAAACTCAAAGTGTCGCGCATTTTATGAAAGGAAGCAGCTACTCAGTTAAAAAACTGTCAATGAAACAAAGCTTATCTCTCGGAAGCTCTTCGCTATAAATCTTCCTCAAGCAGTCTGGTTGAAAGGTTTGTTTGTGTTATTTTCTTTCAATCGTCATATGAATCACGTTACACTTTGCAGACCACAACAACGGGATTAGCAGGTGTAAAGGTAAAAGAGTAGGGTACAAGAGTCAGCAATGAAAAGAAAAAAATATGATTATTTTGTGTTCTACTGACATTCCACGACCGATAAATTATGCTTGAATCAATGGGAAAATGGTAGACATTTGTCTCCAGAGAGGGAGAATAGAAAAATTTAAAGACTTTGCAAGGATTTCAACCTCAGCCAGGTCCGACTAAGTAGTCAAATGTTCAACCAACTAAGTAAGAAAATTCCTCCGATGAACGCCAGGTTTGTGAGACAAAAGCGTCCTGCTAAATGCGCTGAAGTTTTCTTGGTAGAGATAACGAAAGGTAATGGAGGGAAAGATCGTACATTTGAGCAAGATTATTGTGAGAAAAAGGACTTTTTCTGAATACTATGTCCATGAATCAGTTGCTAAAATCTTTCCCTCGCTCTTTTCTCCAAAATAGCTGCTAAAAGCAAGGGTCCGCCCTGCATTAACTGACCATATCAAATTTTCATCCAGTATTGTTACTCGTACTTCAAACCCCGATTCGTTCAATAACCCATTTCAAAGTCTTTCGCAGTTAGCGGGCATGACCGCGCGTTGCAAGCGTGAGTTGCAGACTAAACCCCGACGGACACCCAGAATGACCATGTTCGCTACTTACAGGTGCCTGATCAACTAATGAAATTTTTCTTACCCTTTTTTTCATAGATTTCCGCCCGTAAATAGCCGCAGTTTGCTAAGGCAACACTAAAGATTAACCAGATGTTGTAAGCCATTTAAAACTGTTGCGTGTTTCAACGTTCTTGGTTAGAAATCTCGTACCTCTTCTGAAAACGAAGCACACGAATGTTAGCATTCTCAACTCTCGCTAATTTTCAACCCCTTCCTGTAGGCCTCACGATTTCTTCAGGCTCAAAGGGTAATAAAGAAGGAATTTTAACCAAATTTAGGATAGAAAACAAAGGAATTAAGGATTGTGCCATTCACCATGGTCAGGATGGATCGAAATGAAAAGTCTTAAATGAAAATGGAAATGTCACAGAATGGCATAATTTTATTGAAAATCAGTTAAAATTTCAAAGGAAAAGTTCATCTTTAATAGTAATCGAAATGCCAACTTATCTATTGAAATTTACGTGGGAAACCATACCCAAATTTAAATAGAAACCATTTTATGGTTAACCTCGCTGGGACTTAACTTCAACTATTTTTCTCAATAAGAGCGCGTACAAAAGAAAACATTGACCAGGATAATTCTAAATTTGAACTCGGTTTCCTTTCCTTTAAAACAAACCATCGTTTAATCTGGGGGAAAAAGTTAAACATCCTTTAATGGGAATTTTTTTAATTTCCCATACGAATACAAAAGAGCGGAAACCGTTCTAAAATGAATATTTTCCTTGTTTCCTGTAAAGCTCCAAGGATTTATTTAAGATCGCATTTAAGATCGATTGTTAAATTCTTACATTCTTTTCTGCTTTTGTCTGTTTTTGTCTTTTCTTTTCGCTTTTTCTTCACAGATCGCGCTATACTCTTTAACTGCAAATAACCCGCTTAAATTACATCCCTAGCTTTAAAAACACATAATATGCATGTCTTCCTAACAACTATTACCAAATTTTGTCTCATTGAAAATAATAGAGTATACTACCATTAGGTGCGTTGAAAGGAAAACCACAACAAGAAATATTTTAAAACTTACCTGTGTCTTTCATACAACTTCAGTGCGAACGGCTGATAATTTACCAACTACGATTTTATAATACATACTAATGGACGGTATGGGTGCTTAAAACAAACACACCTGCCGTCATGAATATCAATTCCGTCTTTAAACAGTAAACAACTCGGGTTTTAATTCGAAATTCAGAATGAAAATTTGTGTTAAACCAGACTTTTTAATACTGTGAACTTCATCAAACTGGTAGTTTCAATTCAAAGTGGACCTATTCTTCTATTTGACTTCAATCTGCACGGTAGTAATTCTATTGTGATTTTTTTGTTTTAAGCACTGACGCACGCCTCCCCAATTGACAAAGGGAAAGACAGTTCCGAAATTTTAAGAGACAGATTTCGAATTAAATTTTTCCCCGTTCGTTGTGAATGTCAAATAATAATTATTGCTTGATAGAAATAAGGTGAAGAAGGCTTTGAGTATACTAAGAAGAGTTTCGTGAAAGCATTTTTTAAAAGCGACGAAGTGTTAAAATAAATATGAGTTAATTATAGAATTTCCTCGGAGCGAGCGAACGTGTGCTAACACGGTAATTAGTCAATTGTTCTGATGATGTATGCTAATAGATCACAAACTGAAAATGCTGATAACAGCAGTTAGGACCAAGGACCTTCCCCCAAGAAAAGTTGTCAGGCTGAATATTGAAAAAGGTTTTTGCTGAGGGCTTGCATGTATTCATGCATCGGGGATTCATTTGGGACATGCCCCTTGTACACAGCTGCTGTAACAATTTGCTTGGTTGTGGTCAGTTATCTCATGATCTAGATTTCGTGGCAAAAAGGCTATTAAGATGTCAATTGCATCCGTCTTTACTTAGAATTTTGTAAACCAAATCCATGTCAGATCAGAACCACTGCAATGCGGATATGTTTTGTTTGAATATGTTGTCCAGATAATGCCAGAATTGATATCAATGTGCGTCCATTTCTAGAAGGAACGGTTAATGATCCGGACTTCTGTTGTATCAAAATTTCTCAAAGCAAAACCGGATAACAAAGGAAATAGGTTAGTAAAATGGGAAAAATATTCCGTTCTAACACCAACATAAGGTAAGTGTTTACAACGTAAAAAAAGGAAAGGAAAAAGACCACTCGCGTGATATTAAAATCGGACCGTAAATTGTTCAAAGTTAGGGAGCTGTTCTGATTTCTTCTCGATTAAATTAGCGTCAGCGCTGATCTATTTCAAGGAGAGTGTGCAGATTGAAAGGTATGGAAAGTTTTCATACCCTCGGTCGTTTCATACCCAAATTCAGACGATTCGTACCCAGTTTGAGTCGGTTTGTACCCGAACCACTGGTCGATTCGTATCCGTCTTAGTATACATTCGTTCAAAATACCTCGCGCGCGAGCGCGTGAAGAGATGACGATTGTTGCGTACGACAAGTTGGTAGAGTCAAAAGAGTAAGATACCATTAAAATTAAAGAAACAACTAAATTATTGCCTAGAGCAAGGTAAGCGTGATGTTTTTGATAGGACTGTCTATATTTTATGCTTGTGACTTTCTTAACGAGAGTAGCTAATTAGAGCCTCAGATAAGGTAGGTGTGACTTTTTTTCCTGTTGGTATTAACGGAGAAGAAATATATCTGCTAGTCTTCCCGATAGAAAACAAAAGAATGTCATTCGATTCAGCTTTATTGTTTCTAAAAATTGAGGCTTTGATAACAAAACAATAGGTTGCAAGGATAGTTCATGTACGATGAAAAATTAATTTGTATGTGTATCTGGTAGAGTTATTCTTTGCGTCTGTCTTATGAGTCCCAGACGGCATACTTTTGGTTCCAGGGGTTGGATTCGGTGGTCGCGAATCAAAAATGAACATAAGCAAAACTTCCTTTAATTAATTTAACGCAGGTAATATTGCGATTTTAGATAATGAAGAAACTGACCTTACTTTAAACATACTTAACATGGTAAACATACCCTACTAATAATATTGGTAAGAAACGACTCAGCGGACTGGGTACGAATGGTCCTATCTGGGCACATATCGACTGGGTAGGAAACGACTGTATATACGAAACGACTGGTTAACTAAATATTTTAATAATTAAGACTGTAATACAAGTTAATACGGGGAAGCAACGATTAAAGACTTAATGCACTTGTTTCAGCCACTGAAACAAAACTCCCCGACTGGAAACAGCGTAATAGCGGACACACTCTGCAATTGACTACGTTCCAAACGATGTTGCTTTGCACATTAAATTGCTTTGTGGGATTAGGGTAAAAATGCTGCCTAAATGTTAATATACGGTTGTAAATATCTCTGAGAAAAAGTAAACAAAGGCGCTGAGAAGGAAAGAAAACTATATTCGAATAAATCGCATATTAACCAACTTTCTAGGGAATTTTTTTTCGAGTGGCCTTTAACAACAGCACAGAAAATTTTGAAAATCATAATTGTCAGCACATTAAGAAAATTTATCTAGTGATGTCTGATTCTATCTTTCCACAACCTCCATTAATTTCATTCAAACGCGACAAAAAGATAAGCAACTTTTTGTTCACAAGTCGAAACATTGGCGCGCGGAATTTTTATGAAAAATTAACTATCACCATGGTAACGCTTTAAATCAGTACATGCTAGTTTGAACCGAAAAAAGGAAACAAACAAAAAAACAAACAAAAACGAAAAAAGGGAAGACGAAAACGATACAAAACCTTCTCAACGAACCAAAGTTATACTTACATGTCGGCTAAACTTTTCTGAACGCGATTCTATTGAATTGACTGCGTCTGTGTCAGCTTTGCTGTAAGGTGCCATATGTTACAGAAACAATTCTTATCTAAGTCCAAAAAGCACCAAGATACCTCTTCTGATCATATTTTTCGCCTCACTACAACTCTAAGTGTGATCAATGAGGATAACTATGATTTTTTATCTCTATGAATAAAATCAGCCCTAAGCTCCTATTGTTAAAAATTGTCAACTGTACATATTTTATTCCAATTTTGGCTTATGGACACCACGTGGACTTTCAACCCGTAAATCATCGAGACTAACAAAGATGTCCCTCATTAAGAAAGCCGCGTGCCTGCGGAAAATGCCCCGTTTATCAATTAATCAACAGTTGATATGAGCAATTGACTTCTTTTTGCACATGTAACTGACCATAATTGCCACACGATTTCCAACGATCAAGGGAGAGTGACATATCAAACAAAAGGCATTAACTTTAAACAAAATTTCGCCATGGCGCCATTGACAAGATCATGATGTTATTTATAAGAGAGTCTCTATTGGGTTAACCGATAGCCACAAAATGACCAAAACATTTAGCCGTTGGCTAAATGACAAGTTTTAACTGAACCGATAGTCATAAAGAAAGTAACCATAAAAAAGATTTTGTGTTGATAGCAATGGAATGACTGTAACCGTTTGCCATAAAATGGCCAAAATTTTAACCGTTTGCCGTGAGACCCTCTTCCAAATTAGCAAGAAAACCTAACAATGATCTGTGAATTAACAAACATTCGAACAAGTTCAACTATACTGTTCAAAATTTGCACTGTAAACCCGTTAATCACTGATCGAAACTGAAACAGATGTACCCCTTCAATAGAGTCATAAACTTTCCGAAAATGTCCCGTTCTTTGCTCAGTCAACGTAACCGTTTAATGAGCATATGACTTTTTACTGTAACTGACCGTAATTATCTGAAAATTCCCAGCGATTAAGAGAGACTTACATAAGAAAAACATCAACTTTAAATGAAAGCTCAACGTTTCGATGGATTTAAGATGGATGAGTTTACATCAGACGTAATAAAGATCTTCAAATTAACAAACTTTTGAGTAAAGTTCGACTGCTTCGTTAAAAAAGGTTTCTTTACGCAGGCCATTCCCAAATTGTAAAGTGTAAACCGACTCTAATCCTGTCAAGATCCTTGCTCAATGACTTCTTGATCAGGAATTATGCAAGGGAAGCGGATCATTTCCACAGCATCGTCTCATTTTCGAAAAAAAAAAAGTATTATTGAGCGATATATCTATACCTTTGAAGGGATTAAAAGTATTTGATGTGTCCAGATCATTTTTTTTAATCCAAAAGGGGAGATAAGTTCAAACTGCCTTCTTTATATTTTCAGCGAAGATAAAGAGATCTTACTAGAGTGATACTGATATGATTAGGAATATCAAAACAATTCAGATAAGATTAGGATAATGCGCTGCTTACCTTAAATGTAATCTCGACCGGAAGGCGATCTGGATATCATAAAATTTGGCACAGAA